AGAGGTAGCAGCCCCTCCTTTGTCTTGTTTTGCAGAAGGAAAAAAATGAGTTCGAGGCCTACAAAGTGGTAAAGTTTTTACTGTGTAGGAAATCAAGACACAGAGGTTCTAGAATCAGCTCAGCCTAAAATACGCCACATCGCCTTAGGGATTTTGTTAATGGTGCCCAAGCCTCAGGTAGCCATTCTTTTTAAAATTTTATTATTATTATTATTTTTTGTTAAATTTATTACGGTGACATTGGTTAATAAAATTATATAGGTTTCAAGTGTACAATTTTTAATACATCATCTGTAGATTGCATTGTGTGCTCATCACTTAAACCTAAAATACGCCACATCGCCTTAGGGATTTTGTTAATGGTGCCCAAGCCTCAGGTAGCCATTCTTTTTAAAATTTTATTATTATTATTATTTTTTGTTAAATTTATTACGGTGACATTGGTTAATAAAATTATATAGGTTTCAAGTGTACAATTTTTAATACATCATCTGTATATTGCATTGTGTGCTCATCACTTAAGTTCTAATCTTCTTCCGTCACCACATATTTGACTCCCTTTACACTTATCTACTTCATCCTCCCCCTTTCCCTCTGGTAACCACTAAACTGTTGTCTGTGTCTATGAGTTTTTGTTTGTGTATTTCTTGCTTTCAGTTTTATATCCCACACATTAATGAAGTCATTAATTCTCGACTTTTTCTGTCTGACTGATTTCAGCTGGCATGATCCTTTTCATTCCTATATACTAGTAATGAAATTTCAGGAAAAAAAAATTTAATTCCTTTTGCAATTATAACAAAAGATGTGAAGGACCCATACACTGAAAACTACAAGATATTATTTTTAAAAAATTGAAGAAGACACAAAGGAATGAAAAGATATTTTGAATTCATGGGCTGGAAGAATCAACATACTTAAAATGGCCACATTACCCAAAGCAATGCACAGATTTAATGCAATCTCATCAAAATCTCAATGGTATTTTCTTAAGAAATAGAACAAAAAAATCATCATTTTTTATGAAACTACAGAAGACCACAAAAGTCCACAAATAGCCAAAGCAATTCTGAGAAAAAAGAACGAGGCTGGAGGTGTCACACATCCTGACTTCAAATTATACTACGAAGCGACAATAATCAAAACAGCAAAATGGATCAAAGACCAAAATATAAGACTTGAAACAATAAAAGGCATAGAAGAAAACATAGGTACTAAACTTATGGACCTTGGTCTTAGAGAGGATTTTATGAATTTGACCTCAAAGGAAAGGGAAGTAAAGGCAAAAATAAATAAATGAGACTATATCAAATGAAAAAGCTTCTGCGCAGCAAAAGAAACCATCAACAAAACAAAGAGGCAACCAACAAAACAAAGAGGCAACCAGCCAAATGGGAGAAAATATTAGCAACAACACCTCGATAATAGGTTAATATCTAAAAATATATAAAGAACTCATAGAACTCAACAACAATAAAAAAAAAAACCAATTAAAAAATGGGCAGAGGACTGAACAGATATTTCTCCCAAGAAGACATACAAATGGCCAACAGACATATGAATAGATGGTCAACTTTACTAGCTTTTAGAGAAATGCAAATCAATACCGGAATGAGATACCACCTCACACCTGTTAGAATGACTATTATCAATAAGACCATATGGGAAAGGAACTCTTATACACTGCTGGTGGGAATGTAAGTTGATGCAGCCACTATGAAAAACAGCATGGAGTTTCCTTAAAAACTTAAGAATAGCATTACTGTATGACCAAGCAATCCCTCTTCTGAGGATCTACCTGAAAATTTTGAAAACATTTATTTGTAAAACTATATGTACCTCTATGCTCGTTGCAGCACTATTCACAATGCCCAAGATGTGGGAACAACTGAAGTGTCCTACGATGGATGATTAGGTAAAGAAGACGTGATACATATATACAATGGAATGTTACTCAGACATAAGAAAAGATGAAACACTGCCATTCGTGACCATGTGGTTGGACCCCGAGAACATCAAGCCAAGCAAAATAAGTCTATATTTTTAAGAGAAGGTTGAAATAAAATGAATGTTAATATCTCTTTCATCTGTATATAACTTTCTATTATGAGAGGAAATCTGGAGCTGCAAAACAAAAAGGAATCCTGATTCCCAGGATCTATGTCCAATGATCATTCATCATTCCTTGGGAAACTGGAACATAAGATTTTGCTCTCACAGAGGGGGACCCATTTCCTGCCCATCATTCAGTCGTTCTTGACACAGGCCCCACATTTCCCACGCACCGAACCACAGGCAAGTAGTGGATCGAGCCCATGTCACTGCGGAAGGAGAAACCTCTGAGGAAGAGAGACAAAATAGTCCCTACTTGTTAGGGACGGCCAGCAGCAGGATGGAACAGCTACTGAACTTGGATGTCTAAAGATTTAGTTTATTTATTCCCACTGAGGTTTCTCTGGTTTAGATTGCTCCAAAGCCCTTAGAGGACAACTCAAAAATGGAAAGCCACTTGTTGATAGGGTCCTTATACACCCAGCAATTACGAAATTCCACCTACTATAAAAACGAACTCTCTCGATGACCTCAGCCAAACACCTCGAAGGTTAAGAACATTCCAAACTTGTACTGACGCAACTTTCGAGACTCACATTTCTCATATGAAACTCAGATGTTAGTGAAATCCTTAGTGTATTATGTTTTTACTTGGAAGCAGTGGGAAAATTTGGGAGAAGATAAGGAGGATTCCATCTAGCCAGACTCGGAGTCCTTTTCTAGCATACCCTAGCCCATAGAATTTGCCCTGTTTCCTCATAATAATAAGTATAAGCTTCTACTTACTGAGTATCTACAGTGATTTGGTCACTCTTCTGAACATTTTATATATGTAAATGTATATTAATTAATTTAATTCATACAGCAATCCTCTAAGATAAGCAGGATTATTTTTCCCATCTTAACCTAGCAGAGAGTGGTTAGTAAGTTGGCCATGCTATGAAAGCTAGTTAGTGGCAGAGCCATCATCCAAACTGAGGATCCTGATTCCAGAGTCCACACTAGACCACCTCACCTGCCAATAACAGGAAAGAACAAGGAAGGTCCAAATTGCCTGATCTCTACTTGGTCCCTTTTTAGGTAATTATAGACCAATTAATTTAGGTGGGAGCTTAGAGACTATCTAGATCAGCAAGGGCACTTTCTTAATCTTGTCCCCTAATGAACATGAGCAGTCAGCTACAACACTGTCTTCTACTAACTCAAGGCAATGCCTCAGAGTCTTTCTCAACACACCTCACTATGTGACCTGTACCAAACAATCAATTTGAGATGAGAGTGTGCAGTAAAGGCCAGAAAACGGCTTTGCAGTGCCTCTATGCCAGTATTAAATTCTGTATTCACCACAGTGACCCTATTAAAGACTTTAGTTAAGGACCTCATTAAAAAAGCCGTTAAAGCCTGCCTCCCCTTGCACCATCTCCCACTAGGGGGCCCAGTGTTCCACACAGAGGATACATGTGTTCTTGTATTCTTATCTCCTCTTTTTTTTTTGATAATTTTAGCCAGCAGGCACCTCGTCTGCAATGTATGCTCAGGAGGTGAGAGTGAATTAGATCGCTGGTTTTTCAAATGTATTCCTTGAATCCTTGGAGTGTGAGGGTGTAGGGGGCCACCCATTTCGCTTCAAACAGATCTACTCCATTATAGTGTATTAGATGAATAGGCTTTTGCTATTGCTTCCATTTGAAGAAAGGCTTTAGGAGCTAAACAAATGGTTTAGAAATGCACAGAAACCTCCATACTATTTTCTGTAGTGGCTGCATCAATTTACATTCTCACTCTTCCCAACGGGGTACAGGTGTTCCCTTTTCTCCATAGCCTCACCAATATTTATGCCTTGTGTTTTTGATAATAGCCATCCTAACAGGTGCGGGGTGATATCTCATTGTGGTTTTGATTTGTACTCCTAGGGAGATATTTGCCAAAGGGCACAAACTTTCAATTATATGATAAATAAGTTCTGGGGATCTAGTGTATAGCATGGTGACTATGGTTAATAGTACCATATTATATATTTGAAATTTGCCAGATAGTAAGTGTTCTCAGCACACACACACACACACACACACACACACGCACACACACACACTCACACACGAAGTAACTATGTCAGGTGACACATGTGGGAGTTAATTTGATTGTGGTAATTATTTCACGATGTATATGTATATCAAACCATTACATTGTACACCCTAAATATACACAATCTTCATTTGTCAATTATTCCTCAATAAAACGGGGGAAAACACACAAGAAGTCAAGATCAATAGAATCTATTCAGTTCTGATGTCCTATGATATTAAAATTTCAGGGTGCTAAGATTCTATGACCACTGGATTGAATCATGGGGGTTGAGGTTCTTGTGTGCTACCATGCCTGGGTTCCAGGGAGCTGGCAATGTTCAGAACTGCTGAGATCTCTCCAGATCTGGGTGGGAGCCTAGCAGAAGTTTTAGTGGACTTTCCTCCCCTCTCAAATCCTAAAGACCACCGTGTGACATAGGGACCAGGGAAGGTTCTTGGATCTCATCTCTTCATTCCCTTGGTTCCTTTGCTTCTTTTTCCATTACAGATGTTTCATTATAGAGAAAGCAGAGCTTTTCAGAATGACTCTCAAATTACTATCCGTGCTCGGTCATTCCACAAGCACATAATCCCTCCTTTCCCCATTTCAAGCACAAGAATGGATGAAAATGTGCCAAGTTTCCTACCCCTAGTTTGTCTCTCTTATGTTCTGTCAACTTGCCAGGATTTAGAAGCTGCTGAGCAATTCAGGACCGCCTTCATAATGATTTGATCATGACCTTGACCAGAAAAAGTTTTCCCTGGAAGCGCCTACTCTCTCTGGCGTCTTTACAAAGCAGGCAGAGCACCGAGAGGACAGAGAGGCTGAGACAAGTCCAGAAACCAACAACCCTCACGCTGAAGCGCGCGTCACGCTCCGCCATGAAGGTTGCTGCAGCCCTTCTGTGCCTCCTGCTCACAGTGGCAGTCTTCAACATCCAGGTGCTGGCTCAGCCAGGTAAGACCCCTCTCTCCCTATGGGAGGACTGACCACCTCTGGAACTATAACATCAGGTATCATGAGTAGACAAGAAAGTGCCCTGACCCACAGTCGGTGGAAGACCCAGAACTGGAAACTCAGGCTACTAAAGCCAGTCCCCACAATCTCTATTAAAATGAATATTGAGAGAGATGTCAAGTGTATCCATGATCCAGTTGCCTTTGCAGTGTTTGGGGTTGGAGCACACAAAAGAAAGACCTTTTCCTATTGTGGGCATAGTGAGCATTTGGGGCAGTGCTGGAGGGAAAGAAAATTCCTTGATTAAAGTCTCAGAATTTTTACTGGACTTCAAGACGACTTTCAGAAACAGTGTTTAGAGGAAGGAAATGAAGTCCCAGGGGCATCTCTCCAGGTGACATATTTTGACTCTTGTTTGAGAAAAAAAAATCTAGATGTTTGTATCATGATTCAGTTTTTCATCATCTGATGTCGGATTTACTGCATGTATCAGTCCATGTAAGATAATGAATGCTGTGGTAACAAATAATTCTAAATGATCAGTGGCTTGAAGAAAAAAAAAATGTTAATTTCTCACTGATACTAAATATCTATAAGGTATTGGCTAGAGCTTCTGCTTCATATACTCAGGATTCTAGACTAATGGAGCAGTGGCCCTCAAGAACATTGCTGCTTATCATGACAAAGGGAAAGAAAGCTCTTGAGGGTCTTGCACTGGCAATTATTAACTTTGGCTCAGAAATGGCACTCGTCACTTCGTCTTCTCACTCACAGGTCAAAACTAGTTAAGGGGTCCAACCGTAAGTGGCCAAAAAATGCAAGTCTACTTTGTGTCCAGAAAACAGAGAACAGAACTTTAACTATCACATAGCTACATAGCTCTGTAATGACAGAGCGTTTTGCAGTGACCAAGATTTTTCCATACTTTTGCCAGCGGTGATAGGTCCCCACTGTTCAACTGAGGATCCCCAAATCAGACAGAAGTACAGGACTTCAGAGCAGATAAATTCTACCTCCTCTTACATTTCCTTGCCTTCTCCTAAATTTCCTTCCTTCCTTACAAAGGCATGCTTTAAGTATCTACATATCTTTAGTGGTTTATCCTTTTTATTTCTCCCCTGAATACAGCTTCTGTTGCGACTATCTGCTGCTTTAATCTGAGAAATAAGAAGATCTCCATTCAGCAACTGCACAGCTATAAAAGAATCAGCAGCAGCAGATGTCCCCAGAAAGCTGTGCTGTAAGTAAACAAAGCTCACCCTCTCCTAGACCAAAACTTTATTCCTAGGGCCAGAAGTCAAGAACTGTGTTAGGTTACTTGGAGTCATAGACTCAGAGAGTTCAACTCTATCATCTAACTCGAGAATTTTCACAACAGGACATTTTCACTCAGCTCCCTGTCTGAAAGCTTGTTCAGATCATAACAGTTCCTTTGAGTTAAGAGCAAGGATGGCTTGACTGGGCATTAAGAGCAGCAACTAACCACCAGAGTCCCATCTTTCTTCTGTTTCCTTCCTCCTCTCCCACAGTAACCCTTTCACTCCATGGCAAATGAGCCTGAAAGTTTGGGGGTTAAATGGATACGATTTTCGAAGAGGATCTTTCTTACTGCTTTCCTTCTCTCCCACAGCTTCAAGACCAAAAGGGCCAAGGAAATCTGTGCTGATCCCAAGAAAAAGTGGGTCCAGAATGCCATGAAGTACCTGGACAAAAATCCCAAACTCCAAAGCCATTAATATTCACCTTTTCGAGATCAAACTAGAGCCTGAGAAATGCTCGATTCATTTTCTCTTCTTCCTAAGATGTGTTCTGGGATATTCTCATCGCCATTCCAAAAAGAATGGTTTTTATTTAATAATTTCTTTAAAAACATATTGCATTATGTTATTGATGTTTTTAAACTTATCTACTCTGAATGTCAACTGTTTTTAGAATGTAAAGCTTTGGTCAGGCCCTTTCCCCTCTGTGGGCCCCAATTCAACTCTCTGCAAAGTAATGTTACTTTGTCACTTAGGAGTAATGTTACTGTTCTCCTCCCTCCCTCCCTGGAATCTTGTAAGGGTCCTGGCAAAGATCATCGATATGAACATGGTTTATATTTTTAAGAAGGCATTGTTCTTGTGAACCCATTAAAAGTAGTATCCTGTACAGCTGAAACAATATCATGACTCCGAATGTTAAATGGAAATAAATGTTCTTTTAGGAATACGTAAAAATGTTTTTGTACTACAGTCGGCAGTTATATTTTTGTGGGGTATCCACACTGAGATGAGAGGGAGAAAGATGAAAGCAGAGGTGAAATGTATGGTTATGGGGGTGGGAATTGTGTTCCTGAGACATGAGATTCAGGGTAAAACTGACAGGACCAGACAAACCTTTTATATCCTTCTGACTCTCATCCCCAAGAGCCATTTCCCAGACCACAAGTACTTCAGTCACTTATTCGACAGGACGCTCACTACCATTTTTTCCCTAGCCAACCTCACACTTGCCCAAACTCTCTCCCATGACCCACGGCAGCAGGTGGTGGTATTCTCCCTGTGTCCAACCTAATTCCTCTAATCATCCTCCAACCCAGAATACACAGATAATACAGACAAATCAGGGGAAGACTAGATGACTCTTGACAAGAGGTTCATTTTGACCTAGGCCTTATAGGCCTTTAAAAAGCTTTAAGCCTGGAACCTAAACTAGGTCTCGATGGACAAGTACAGGGCCTCTTTTAGAGGTATTTCAGGCTGGGTAGAAAGGAGAGAGGTATAGCTTGAGAAAATGTCTTGAAGTAGAGATGATCATGATGTGTTTATGAAGTTGGGTGGAAGCCCTTTGGAAAGGTGTCAGGGCTAGGGTCTGAGTGAAATGGGGAAATTCGAGAAGGAAAGTTGGGAAGGAAATGGGAGTTTGCACTCCGTTCAGATAGCAGTAAGATGAACGTGTCATTTTTATCACCCAAATTAGGATACTTTTGAAAATAAAAAGAGGTACCATTAATAATTATGCTGGGACAACAGACGTAAATTAGCACTGTCCCAGGCAAACCGGAACGTCTGGTCACCTAACAGGCATCGGAAGTTTTGATTCTGTGGAGAGACAGAGTTCTGTGATCAGAGGTGCTTTGGGAGTAGTAACCAGGAGGCCAGGGCTGAACTGAGAGGGGAAGGGAAGAGCAGTGAGCACACTGCAAAGTATAGGCAAGAGGTAATGGGGAACAGGACCAGGGCAATGGTAGATGGGAAGGGAAGAAGGAATTGCGGGAAGAGTGGGACTAGGTAAGGTGAAGTGATGAATGTTGTAGATGGAGGAGCAGGACGGGTGACATGGAAACTTTCATAATGCCACAAAGCTGCAGTTAAAGGGTGGCTACTTAGACCCAGAAAATTCACTCCCTCCATCACGCTTCCCCTTACACCTTAGCTTTTTGAGCTCAAGAGCTTCTAACCGAATGGATAGTACATCTACTTCCTCTATAAGCAGCTCGAATCAGGATTCCTCTGCGACATATGAAATCAGCCTGTATCTGTCAGTCATGTGACCTCCTATGCCTGAACACGGAAACCAACTACATTTTCAAGAATAGAAAAAGATCATAGGTGTCCTGCTGGTGTAACTCTATGTGGTCTAAGGCTGTTATTCTGGAGGGCGGATGGCCCACTGCATCATGCTGTGTCCAGCGGGATCACTGTGTTGCATAG